AGACAGTCTAGAGCAAGTAAAATCCAAATATAATTGCTAATCATAAAAGTAGTATTTCCTGTAGATGTGACCAAACTATGCTGGTCAGGTTCTATCAGTCAGTCTTGATCCAGGCCACAAGCTTCAGTTAGATCATGAGCCTCTATGTCAGTGGCAACCAGTGGGAAGAGACCCCTCTGGGGAGTTGAATGACATTTTCACAGGGGTTACCAAAGACTATCGCAAAACACAACAATTGGGGGTCACCACAGTATGAGGAACTGTACTAAAGGGGTCACAGCATTAGGAAGGTTGAGAGCCACTGGTCTATGTAATTGTGTGTGCTTTGAGAGATTTGCCAATTGGTTGGAAGAATGTGAATTTTGCATGTATGCCTTCAAGATCTTTACCAGTACAACCAAGTTTGTGTTTAGTGCAACTCTATGCTTGGAGTGTTGTGTTGGCCATCAGAATTTCTTGGATCTTATTGTATCATGATTCAGGCCCCCAACATTCCCTGTGTATATAGAACTAAGCAAGATTTTGTATCCATTGTAATGATGCTAACATTTGTTAACACTTCACAATCTGGGTTTATATAGTAATCTGAGCCTTTGATTCTGTAAAGTTACAATTATTCATACAAAGTTTCCTACATTCCTAACATGTAGAGGAAGTTGCTATACCTACAGGGTGATAATCTATGTCTGGGCAATATAAAGTATGCCCTAACTAACATCAGTGATGAGTTTGAAAGTAAGACATCATAATTTGGAATAAAATTTGGTGTATCATGTATAGCCTAATGGATTGTAAAAAGGGAGAAGATTAAAATCACTTTCTCAAGGTCTTCAAGATACTTAGGGTTAACACCATTAGAATCAATTAGCCACCTATTTCCTGAGATACTCCTATCCCCCAAACTTTCATCTTACTCTCCCCTGTTTTCCCCAGTCATTGCTCTCCTTCCCTTTTTAAACTCCTTCTTTCTGTCTCATCAGCTTCGAGGGATTGATGACTGCCCCTCACTGCAGTCAGTCATCAATCCCAGCAGCTTCCACTTTCCTTCAACATCACTTACCTCCTCCTTTGTTGACATTACTAAATCTACAATTCTTGCCGCACACCGTTTTTGTTCAATACTAACCTGGGTAGTCATTCAGTCCATTTAATATGTAGGCCAAATAGAATCTTATCTTATTTTGTGTCTCCCCCAGCTCCTATGAGCCTGTCACCTCACATGCAAACCACAGAGGCTGCCCTTGCATTTGCAGGAATCCTGCCTCAGCCCTAGGAGGCTGGGATAATAGGCATGTATCACCATGCCCAGCATCACACTTTGTTTCAAGCAACTACATCTCACCTACCTGAACCACAGGGATTTCACATGGCACACTTGACCCTTGCTCAACACTGTCCTTCCCAACATTGTCAGTCTAAATAAGCACACAAGATTGGAACCATTTGCCATTTCCTGTATCAAAATTTCCTCCAAACTTTTCGCTAACATTGAATTCTCCTCTCCTTGACATGAGCCATGTAACACAAGTGGAATTTATCATCTCCTTTTTGTTCTCACTATCTAATCTTGTGTGCTGGGCTTCTCTTCCTGCATAGATTGCATGTGCTCCTTGAAGATGGGAAACAGGATCTTTATCCCCTTGTAGAATAATCCAAGAACACACTGCTTGTGTAAGTAGACAGTCCCTTCCACATGTTTTAAGCTCAGTTAAAAATACCCCACCAATACTAGTTTCTTCTCGTATTCTTAATGCCTTTGAGCTTTGTGTTCCATTTGGACACTATCTCAAATATTCTTTGAAAAGTAAGAAAAGCAAAAAAAAAAAAAAAAAAAAAATACACATTGCCAGGTAGAGAGCAAGCACACTAGGAATACGGAACCTAGAAAATCATTTTTATCTCTATTCAAAAAAGTACAGTGGCCAGGCGTTGCTGGTGAACACCTTTAATCCCAGCACTTGGGAAGCAGAGGCAAGAGGATCTCTCTGAGTTCAAGGCCGGCCTGATCTACAAGAGTTAGTTCCAGGATAGGCTCCAAAGCAATATAGAGAAACCCTGTCTCAAAAAAAGTACAGTGAATCATATATCTATTCACAATTGGTCCCAGAGAAACACAGGCACAGCACGTGGACTTGGAGAGGTGCATTGACTAACTGACTAAGTCACACACAGAGAATGACAGTGATCAGGTAAAGAAATGTTAAAAATTTAAGATAGTAGATTTGCTAATTATACTGATTAGGTCATTATATAGTTTTTACATAATGAGAACATCATATTGAACACAATATGTATAATTATTATATTTTAATAAAAATAACATTTTTAAAGATACATTAAATACCACAGCACTACCTTTTAGTGTGTGTGTGTGTGTGTGTGTGTGTGTGTGTGTGTATGAATATTTTCCTCATATGCAGATGCTTCTAGTGGCAGATATCCTAGAGCAGGAGTAACAGGCTCTAGTGAGCTGTGTGTGGGTGCTGGGACCTAAACTTGTGTGCTCTGGAATAATAGCAAATGCTCTTAACCACAGAGCCATCCCTCCAGCCCCTAACATCACAGTTTAATACAACTACAAGTGTTTTCATTATTTCTACCATCTACTTTAAGTTTTGGGCTGTTTGGATAACTTACACAATTTAACATTAACATATTTAAATTTTTTATTTTATTTATTGATTTGTGGGGAGAGGGGCACATACACATGTAGACATCAGAAGATAATTTGCAGAAATCAGTTCCCCTCTTCCACCCTGGATCTCTGGGGAGAAATTCAGGCTGTAGGGTTTGGCAGCAAGTGCCTTTACCTGCTTTACCCACTCTCCAGTCCTGTACTTCTTGGCAATCTGAGACCCCTCAAGACATTTTTACATTTCCCACCTTTCCATTCACACAATAGCATATCTGATTTACTAATTAATCATTAACTATTTTGTTTATATTCTAAACTCCCTAGCTCAAAGGGGCTTATCGTTGCTTTCCAAACCTAGGTTATGTGTTGCTCTGTGCTTTATAGTTTATAGTTTATGGATGAACAAAGGTTCTTGCTGGATTGAAATACTGTCCTTCAACCTTTGATGGGAAAAGCTTGCCGAGATAGACTTAAAATATGTGGCTTTGTGCCATTTACCTGAGCTTTACATGACTTTTCTCCCCCAGCCACATGTGCAGATCTAAAATGAGGCTAAGCCCTATATCTTTACAGCCCTATATCTTCCTTTGTCTTTGTCTTTAGAGGACAAAAGTCTTACTCATCAGGTTTTGGACAGAGCTCATAGAGGAATCCTCTACTACTGAGTGTAATCATGGATCCAGTTTCAATTCCCAGAACTTCCCAAAAACAAATATTCTAACTTGCCAGTGTTAACATTATGAGAACCTGTCTCAAAAAAAAGTAAACAGTTAACTCTACTTTTTAATAAAATAAAAAAAAAAAAATCTACGAGCCAATGTGTACAATCACAGTCTTCCTGCCCTTGAATTGTTCGATTGTGATAGATTACTAGGCATAACCCATTTCTTTCATCTGGGTGGGTGTTCTGGGAGACTCAAGAACATTGCCAATTGCCTAACATGCAGCAGGATTGATGGATTTTATCTAACTGTGTATGTTTGAGAAAGTCACCTAAATGGACTATTCCATGCCTCAATGTCTTCTTATATAAAGCAGGATAATAAAAGTACTTAACGTTGGAAGATCACATATGTCAGTATGGTAGTTTAGTAACATGCCCACAACAATAACTTGCATTTGGTAAGCACCATGAGTTTAAACTGTCACTGTTACCACTTGCCTTTATTGCTCTCACGATTAACCATGTGTCTACCACGATCCACCAGGAGGCTAAAGGAAAATGCCCTGCCCTTGGTTGGTGCCTTGCATGGAACAAGAGGCTGAGAAGTACCTCAATGAGTCAGGGTTCTTTCAGATTGGCTCATCTGGGAAGGAAGCTCCACTCCCACGGCCACTCTGCTCTTGTCATGTGGCACCCCCCCCTTCCCCACAACTGCATCACCTGTAGTTTATCAGTAACTTCTATACGCTCAGTGGCTCACGTTGTTCATTATTGAACATGATATCTTCTGTGAGCAATTTACAAGGCCAATGAGTTTCTCCAAATCTTCTTAACCACCACTGTGGCAAATAGCATACCCCATCCATGGCTCATAGGAACCCCCAAAACTCACACCACACAGAGTAGCATTCATTACCTGAGGCAACCCTTCTCTTCCATTCTGAGAACTATGCCCATCATCTTGAAAGAGCAAGCCCTTCCTTCAAAGACAAAGTTTGAGTTAATCACGCTTATGTGATTGATGACTAAAGTAAGAGTTTCAATATATTGTTTAACAATGAGAAACCAGGTACAGAAACAAACTCCAGATTCCTTGTGTGGAAAGCTACACAAAAAGTCAGATTATGATTACAAATCTGTATGACTAACATACAGAAAAAAGAAGAGATGTTGGGTACCTCTGCTAACTGTTCAGTAGCATGGAATTGCCTATGACCTGCCAATAAGAACAAACTACTAAAGTGTTCATTGACCAAAGCTCTCCCTCACTGGAAAATGCCTGGGTGGACATTTGAAATAATGGTTCTCACTATTCACTTTATGAACAGAGTCATTCAGCATTTAGGAACTTCATCCAACATATGCTTTCCCACATCTCCCACCCAAAAAAAAAAAAAATGATTAGAGAAAAACCCCAAATTCAACCTATTAATCACTACCTACCCTCACTTTTGCATCAAATGATACCTTACTAGCCCGTTTTCATATTTTTCCATTGCACTACCTAAATGGATTTTATCATCTTCCTATGCCCACCAAGCTGTTAGAGTGGAAGAGAAATTCGTGTGAGAGCACATCTTCTGTGCTTTTAAAATAGGCCAACAGGGAAAGAGTTTTGTCATCCTGAGGTTCTACAGAGGCATGAATCCCTATTCTAGCCCTGAGTAAAGTCCCTCCCGCAACAGGCTGTGTTTCACTCACCGCATACTGGAATCTCTCATTGTAGTCTCGGTCATTGGCTTTCACCACCCGCTCTACTTCTAAAAGAAAGAGAAATCAGATATGGAATTCAATGTTAACCCCACAGAAACACAACTGTTAAAGTAACATCACTGAGGATACTTTGATTTTGAGTTCTTTCTTCTCTTTGAAATTGAAGGGTGTTAGTTTCTGTCCAACCTGAACATTGGAACATCAGTTGGAAAGTTCTAAGTGGGACTGGGAAAATGGACCGGGGAAAAAATTACCCGGTAAAAGGACCTGAATTTGAATTCCCAAACACATGTGAAAAGTGGACACACAGGATAGGCATCTATAATCCCAAAACTCCTACAAGTGTAGAGATGGAGACAGAGAATCCCTGGGCGCTCTAAGGCTGGCTAGTCTGGTTTACACAGACAAAAATCAGCAGAGACCCTGCCTAGAACAGGGTGGAAAAGACCAACATCTAATTGTTCTGTAATAATCTCATGGGTACTGTGGTAGTGTGTGCCCACATTTACACACAAGAATGCACACACACACACACACACAAGAATTCATCTGCTTTATACACACATATACACACACATTTTTTAAAAATTAAAGGAAAGTTTCAAAATGAAAAGCTATAATTTTTTCATTATCTCTTTGATGAAATGCATAAAATAAGACACTGTATTTCTCTAGTTTGTATATCCATCCATTCAGCTTCACAAAGATCCTTACTCCTAACTTCATGCCATTTCCAAAGGGGAAAGACCCACTAAAAGCCAAACTTACCTTGAAAATTATTTTTTTCACATTAAAAAAAGAAGCACAAAATACAACACAGGCAAATAAAAAGCATACAGAATTGGTCATTTAATTCACTGACCTTATGCTTTAAACCCAGAGAGCAAAAGGTGGCATTTCTAAAAGGCACATCACATGATTAAGAACCTTCAATAGACAGAGCCAGTGAGTTCATCTCTTCCCAGCCCAAATTTTGTGACAATGCAGAGACTGAAAGTGTCAAAGAAAAGATGGTGCCCAGGAAACTGGCCATGCATCTTCTATAGTAATGTGACATGCCTCTGTCTTGTGTTTACTGGGAAACTCCTGCAATAATAGTAAGGGCAATGGGGACAGTCTGCAAAGTAGTTGCCAGAGGTCATTATTGACTTACCCGTCTGGACTGAGGGCCCCTTGATTTCTCAAGAACTGATTCACAGTTCTCCAAAAGAAGGACAGAGTTGTAAAATGAGTAGGCGAGCAGTGGGAGACATGTTCTTAAGGAAGAGGACAGAGAAGAAGGGTGCTTTCGAGAAATGAAACAAGTTGAGAGTGCCAGAGAGGAAGAAAATGTCAGACATCGCATGTAAAAGTTGTAAAAACTTTTCCCCCAAAATTCTGCTAAAGCTCACCCAACTTGCGGTAGTTTGAATAAAAATAACCCCCATAGGCTCATTCATATATTTGAATACTTAAGTATCAGGGGGTGGCACTGCTTGACAGGGATTAGGAGGTGTGGCGTTGTTGGAGGAAATGTTGTCACTGAGGATGGACTTTGGGTTTCAAATGCTCAAGGCAGGCTCACTGCCTCTCTCTGCTTTCAGATCTGAATGTAGAACTCTCCACTACTCTTCAGCACAAGTCTGCCTGGCCCATCGTGCTCCCTACCATGATGATAATGAACTAAACCTCTGAAACTGTAAGCCTTAATCAAATGCTTTCTTTCATAAAAGTTGCCATGGGCGCTGACAAAAGCACCAAGACACTGCTCCTAAGTCTGAAGATTGCTGCTAATTAGTGGCAACTGTGCTTTTGGTTACATTTCCATTCCTACCACTTGTGGTGTGTATCCTTTGTCTAACATCCACCTCCACGGCTCCCTTCTTGCCTGGGAAGTTGATTTCCTATGGCTTTTTCCTGCAGTCCAGCCTGACTCATCTAGCTGCTAAGAACAATGCCGGACTAGTGGAATCAGTTCGCAACCATGGAATGTGCCTTCCTGCCATGGGTACCACCAGGAAGCAGCCTTCCAACCAACCAATCACCTGAAAGAAACTCTTCAATCCTAGCTCTAAAAGCCTGACCATTTCTTTTACTTGAGTGTCCCACAACAAACAAAAAAGCCAAAGCTCAAAATGGTACTGGGACAGTGAGGCTTAAAATAGTAAGGTGACTTGTGTATCACTACCTTAACCCAAACTAATATAAATAAATAAATAACTCTGTCAAAAAAAGAGTATTGGGTATTATTGTGAGGGTGGGCAAAAGGCTTTTTCCAAATGGCAAGAATTAACCTGGCTCATCAACAAGCTGTACTAGACTTATCAATTAATTTTAGTTCTAAATAAAAAAAAAATCGGATACACTAATTTAAATGTTAATTGGCCTGGGCTTAGAATATGAACATTCAGAGGACTGTCATTTCAAATCCACATCTGTGTGGTTCATGTCCAAGAGCACAAATTTGTAGTTCTGCACCAAGTTGTACTTATTCCAACACCAGAACCTTGACCCTTCAAACCAAGAAGGAATTATCCACCTAGACCTGCAGATAACCACATTCTAAATTGTTTGAAACCTTATTATCATTCTGTGTGTTGATGCCTTGTGTGGGAGACAGCTACATTACCACACCACAAGTGTGGAAGTTGGAAGACAGCTTTGGGCAGTCTAACCTCCCTCCCACCTTTATATGGGTTCCAGGGATCAGTCTACCAGGTTTGAGTGACCAGCACTTTTACTGGCTGAGCCATGTCAATGACCTCCATAACCATATTCTAAAGGATCACAACCAGCTCTCCCTAAATGATCAAATGTTGCTCTTGCCCCCACAGGACCTGATTAGATCTAGGACACCCTCTTTTTGCTTCTAAATCCTTAAAGTTAAGTCCTAATCTTCATGTCTTCATTTTCAGTGATTATTGTCTTTATGGACTAACTTTTTGTTAATTAATTCTGGAAGATGATTTTGGTAGTTTTTCATAAAACTCTAAAACACACTAGCTTTGACTCTAAATCTTTACAATTCTCTGCTCTTAGCTTGGCTGCACTAGTCCTGCATTATCTTTGAAAAAAAATTAGCTTTCTTCCATCTGTTGCTGCAGTGTACAGTGGGACAGTCATGGCCTAGAAGAGGAAAGGAGACACAAATTCCCTCTAAGAATTCCCATTAGGAAAGTCTTCTCTGAGGTGCAATGATTTAAACCTGCTTCTTGTTTCCTGAGCTCTTTCCAGGGGTGATCATTGATGGGGGGAATGTCTTTCTGTATATATGTTTCATTTATTGGTTGACGAATAAAACACTGTTTTGCCAATAGAGGCAGGAAGGTAGGCAGGACTAGAAAATGAGGAGAATTCTGGGAAAGGTAGGCAGAGAGAGGTGTGGCAGGGAGACGCCATGAAGCTGCCAAAGGAGTAACAGGTTCGGGCATTCTCTGGTAAGCCAAGACCACATGGAAATACATAGATTTGTAGAAATGTGTTAATAATTAAGACAGAGCTAGCCGATAAGAAGCCCTAGCTCTTGGCCAACAGTTTTATAACTAATATAGTGTCTGTGTGTTTATTTGGGGCTAAAGTGGGCAAGGCAGGATAAGAAACTCCAGCAACAGGCCATCATAGGCTATATGATCTACAGAAGTACCTGACACCTCTATAATTAATCGCTGAGTTTTTCTGGCTCCAAAGGGAGTAAGTAAGTCAGCAGGAGTTAAGAAAAGATATAAAGGAGCTCCCGGCTTCAGATAGCAAACAGATGCCTTCTGGCTGGACTGGCTTCTTGTGCCTCAATGAAGTTACAGAAAACATGTGCAGAAAAATTAAGATATGGATGAGAAAGGGCCACTGATTTTGAAGGATGCTTAGAGAAGAAACTAGAAAGGAAAAGGAGTCAGTATGACTAGACAAAGAAGATAGAAGAAACTCTAATCAATCAAATTAGAATAGTGGTCATCCATAGAGGGCCAGGGAAAAGTCTCAGGGTCAGAAATACAAAGAACGGGGTGTCTTATGGACAAAGTGATGGAGCCATCTCCCATACATTATTTACAGAGAGTGTGAGTGTCTTATGGACAGAGCCATCTCACACACATTATTTTTGCAAAGTAGTTGTCAGGGCCCTTTTTCACTCTCAAAAGTGTCTTAGAGCTGGAAAAGGATCTAGGTTTAAATGATAAATTACATTACCACTTCAAAAACATGATCCAAGGGCAAAAGACAATGCTGAGACAGGTGGGTGAATGGACTGGTTTTTCTTATTAATTCTAATTAGTGCCTTAAATATATGTATATCAAAATTCTAAGGTGAAGAAAATTATAAAAAAGAAAACTAAGAAGGGAATATAGACAGTAAACAGGAGGAAATGACCAAGGATTGTCTCCAGAGGAAGATGCCAGTCTTTTCAGAGCTATAATGGTAACACACACACACAAGCAGATCTCTGTGGTTCAAGGCCAGCCTGATCTACAAAGTGAGTTCCAGAGAAGCCAGGGCTGCTACACAGATAAACCCTCTCTTAGCGGAAAACAAAATGTCAGTCTTCAAAGAGATGGGCCACCAGATTCCTATCAGAATCCAATAAAATGGACTTGTGGGTCTCCATAAAATTCATCTCCATGCCACTCACTTAAGAATTTATAACAAAAATAATAATAACTACTTAAAATTTAACAGCAAGATTGGATATAGAAGATACAGAAGCAAGGGTGATGATCAATCAAAGCTGTGTCTGTCATCTTTTAAGTTTTTATTTATTACTGTATATGTGGAGTATGTACATAATAAAAATAAATAAATCTTTAAAAACAAAAAAAAGAAAGAAAAATAACCTTCACTCCCCCATTTGCAAGGTCAACAGTATTTGATAATCCCCTCAAACAAGTAGATTAGGAATGAATTTCTGGAAGAACACGTGTGTTTGTGCCCTATGCTTGCCACATTCTCCACAGCAACCAAATAAGGACAGGAAATAGTCCCTCGGAACAGTGACAATGGTAGAGCATTTAACCTTGTCTAGGGATGATCAGCTTATAGTCAACAATGGCACCCGACCCCCAAAAAGTAATTATCTGGTGGGGCTAATGATTTACTAAGTCTACTTTTGGTTTAAAACTTAAAAAAAAAAAAAAAAAAACTGTCAGGCAGTGGTGGCACATGCATTTAATTCCAGCACCAAGAAGGCAGAGGCAGAGGGTCCTTGTGGGTTTAAGGCCATCCTGGTCTACAGAGTGAGTTTCAGGAAAGCCAGGGCTACACGAGAAGCTCTCTCTCTCTCTCTCTCTCTCTCTCTCTCTCTCTCTCTCTCTCTCTCAAAGCCAAGAAAAGAAACTGTTTCCCTGTTTGGAAGTGACAGTAGGACAACACACATTCAATACATCCAAAAGCATTGTCCAGTCAACTTAGGACACAAACACGGAAGGGGGGGACTTCTAAAACATTATTCGCTAGGAATATCTAACCTCAATACTACAATTAAGATGCTATTTCCTGTACACAAGATTTTAGGCCCTGAGAAATGAAAGTTAGACTTTTAGAAAAAAGAAAAGAACAGTCTGCAAATGCAAAGGGAAGGGATGCTGAGGCAAGGGCACTTCCACTGAGAGCCCCCTCCTGACAGTGATGTCTCAGGGAAGTATCACCACTTTGTGAGGTAATCATTTAACTAAAAAATGTGTTGGAAGCACTTTTTACACAGGAAAAAAATACAGGATTTATATGCATGTATGAAATTCTCAAACAATATAAAATTTATACAAAAAAGTTTAAAAAAAATAAAAAACTAAACATGAAATTGGTAAAGGGGAAGGATCGTCTAAATGCTTGTATTACTTCCAAAGAGAGTCTTAAAGTAGTTTTCTGAACATTCTCTGTGAAAACTGGTAAATGACCATGGATTCTGCTCTACGTCCTTGAAGACAGTGCTCACTTCTTCCTAATCTGGGCTCTTTTCCATCATAGTACACAATAAATTACAAATCCACTATCTCTCACTTCAGTCAGGAAGAGCACAAGTCACTTATGCCTCTTTGTTTAGTCAGTTTGTCTGTGAGCAGATCTTAACCACTTAGTGTTGTTCACTCCTTAATGAGAGCAGGAACTCTGTGCCCAGACCGATAACAAAAAGGAGAAGTAGAAGGTCCCCTAGGGCTCATGAGTTTGCACAGAATTAATAAACACAACTGTCCTTCAATTGCCTACACTTCATTTTTCCCCTTTGTCTGGTGTGGTTGTGAAGACCGCATTCAGACACTTTGCTGTATGGTCCCAAAGTCATTAGACAATGACACCACAGATAACTTGAAGTCTGTATGTGAAACCTTGATGGCAGAGGCTGATAACCTTCAGTAAGTTTGGAATGCCTCCAAATCCAAAGGAATGTCTCCAAACATGAAGTATTGTTCAGGGTGTGAGGTTATTAATTTTTCTGCTGAGGGGTCAAATTTTTCAGAATACTCCCTTAAGCTAAATCAATAGCTTAAGCTTTTCCCTTCCTTAATTTTCTTTCTTTCATTCACCAAAATCTGGCCATTTGGAAGTCAGAGAAATCACTAAAGACAGAGGAGGACAATGAGTGTGAGAGCTTTAAAGCAATAGGCCCAGCCTCCAGATTTTCTGATCTGATTCCAAGAACACAGCCTGACCCAACTGAGAAACACACCCTGTTTCCTGTCCACAGCAGCTTCTGGGGTTTATTGATATTTAAATTGAAAAGTAAAAACTCTTCCCACAATAGTGTGTGTGTGTGTGTGTGTGTTCATGCTTGTGTCCTCACAAAAGAGCTTGGAAATAAAGTTTGAGGATTCAAACAAATGCTAAAGGGTTTAGGGTTTGTTTTCCTCTTTAATAAGCCAATATAAATATGTTCACCAGGTCCAGAGAGTTGGAAAATTCAACTTATTAAAAGCTTTGTTTCCTCTATGGCTACTATAGCATCACAGCAAATTCATCCTTCTGGTATGCCTGGATTGGATTATATAAATTACAAGTAAAAAAATTAGATAAGCCCCTGACATTTTGTTTTCTATTCAAATAGGTTCATGGCTAGAGACTTAAAGCCTACCATAAGAGTAATGACGAAAGTTGATGTTTATTGAGGACTTTGTCAAAAGCTAGATATAACCATAAAATAATTCACAGCTATTATTTCAGGAATTCTCAAAACATTATGCTATAATCCTCAAAAACACAAGCTATTCCCAGCCCCATTTTATGAATACGGAAACAAAGCCAGAGGGGGAGGATGCAGTAGGGTCAGATTTGAAACACGGAACCGCCTCACTAATGCCAAAGGTTTGGCGTTGAATCTCAGAATAGGGAGATGGCAACTAGTACTTCACAAAACTGACTAGGAAACGACAAATTGATTTAAATCGGGTTCAAGAAAGAGCAGGTATAGGCCTCTTTCATCAAATTCAGCTGGATCTCAACAGAAAACCCCTGCTTGGGATGCATATACCCCATCCATAGCCCTCTTTTTCTTCCTCTCCCTCCTCACTTTAACATAAAATTTTGCCCACATTTTCATGTCTATACTCATGTGCACATAGAAATTGTTTCAACTATTAATAGAATTAGGCCTGAATCTTGGAACATAGTCTTAACATAACAAAGACTTGCAACACCAGGTCTTGTTGGAAGCAGACACATGCGAGCTAGTTGACTTTATGTTTACACTATAAAACCTGTACCAACAATTTGTATAAAGACTCTCATATGACAAAAAAAAAAAAAACAGGAAGAGTTCTAGAGTCTTATATTGGCATTGGGAATATCAACAAATCCCCCTACCGAGGGCCTTCAGATAGACACAACACTGGAACAGAATTCAGCTCATTGTGAGGATGAACATTGCAATGTGTCCTAAAAAGGGAACTGATGCATCATGAAATAATTACAGATTATTATACCTATAATCACCTGCCAGAGATGTCAAAAGGAGAGAGGGGGCATTGAACAAACTCAAATTCAACATTTTACCTTTAAAAAACTTGGGTCAAAAATGAAGAAAATCTTAGTAATAAGATGTAGACTGTCCACTGAAATAAAAACTACATAGTAGCTGCCATTGACTGACTAGAGATGAAATAAAAAAGCAGTACTCTCTGTGGTGCTGTAATGGCCCCCACAGGCTCATATATATAAATGCTTAGTAGCCAGGGAATGGCACTACTTGAGAAGGATCAGGAGGCATGGCCTTGTTGGAAGTGGTGTGCCATGGAGAGTAAGCATTGAGGCCTCAAAGCCACGGCAGGCCCAGTGTCTCTCTTCCCTGCTGCCTGTGGATCTGGATGTGGACCTCTCTTCTCCTTCATCCCTTCCCATGCCTGCCTGTGTGCCACCATGCTCCCTGGACTCAGCCACTGAGGTCGGTCCCACTTACATACTTTTCTTTATAAAAGTCACTGCGGTCATGGTGTTTTCACAGCCACCGAACCCTGCCCAGGACCCTCTCTCAACATGGAATGCCATTACTATTGTAAGTTGAGCACTGCAGCCTCTAAACTCTAAACCTCAAACTGAGTACTGACATAACTTTTTAAAGTTTCAGATTTTTGGAGGATCTCAGATTTTGCATTTCCCGGACAGCAGTACTCAAAAAACTAAAAAAAAAAAAAAAAGACTACAAAGTCTAAACCCCAGAAGTACTTCTGACCCCAAATATTGAGTATAGAAAAACTATTCTCAACCTATTTTCAAGAGACTGATTACTAAAACAACATACATACAAAAAAGTGTGTTTCCTGCTACCTTGGCCAAGCTCATTTATCTTATATGGACTCAGTTTTAAGTATTTGTGTATTCATGCAATAAAACATTGCTTTGAAATGAAAAAGGGCAAACAAACCACAAATAGACACAACCACACCGATATACAGTGAAACTTTCACACTAAGCAAATGACTCATGCTAAAAGAATATGTGCTGGGAGGTTCCATTTATATTTACCTTAAAATAGTAATCTGACAGAGATCAGAAGGTGGCTGGGGATTCTAAGAGGGTGACGACAGAGACACAAGGACTTGATGAGGTGATGGAGAAAGTTCTGTATTTTGTTGCATGTGCTCTCAGGAGTTGCATGGATATACACAACTGTCAAAGCTTCTTTTCAACTTAAAACCAATGTGTGTGTTTTCTGAATAAACCAACCCTCCAATGTAAAATGAGATACAGTTCCTATTGTTTTGTGTCTTCTGAAAAACTCAAGCCTTACCAGGCAGCTTCTTCTTACTGAAGAGCATCATCCCCCTGAGTTTTCACCACAGCACGAGCGCTGGCCTACATTTTTTTAAAAAGAGAAACACACCTTAGTATTTGAAAGATGCTCAATATCTCCACATTCACCCTCTTCAACTGCCTTCCTACACAATTTCAGATGACAAGTTGCTGATATAATAAAGAACAGTAAGTTTAATTTAACGTGCCTAAGTCTAACCAGATAATCATAATTCTGTACCATAAAAAATTATGCTTGTATTATAAATTAATTGGGGTCCAGAATAACATATTTCAAAGTGAAGGCTTTAGGAGTAATGCTTCTCTGTGCCTTCCTTCTACCCTCTCTACTCTCATCCCTCATCTCCTCTCCTCTACAGCCCAAAAAGATAGGGAAGTTAGAATTCCTCCTCCCTAGCACAGGTCACAGAATCCAGAGCTCCCTCCCCTCAAATCTAGTCATAAAAGCTAAAAAACTCAGCTGTCCCTGTGGATTTCTACAAGGGGAGCTAATGGTCCCACAGACTGAGAGCTGGGAAACCAGCATTGGACCTACTCAGACCCCCTGAACATGGGTCTCTGTTAGAAGGTCTGGGCAGTCTAAGGGACCTCTGACAGTGGAACCAGGAACTATCCCTGGTGCTTGAAAGGACTTTGGGAACACATTCCCCATGGAGGGATACTCCCTTAATCTAGAGGCAGGAGGGAGGGCCTAATCCCTACTCCAAATGACTTGACAGATTTTGTTGATCCCTCCTGGAAGGCATCACCCTCCCTGTGGAGTGGGGGGGGGGGTGAGATGGGAGGGGAGGGAGTGGGAAGGAGGAAGAGAGAGAAGGAGGGAGGGAAGGAGGGAAGGAGAGGGAACTGGGATCGATATGTAAAATAAGAAAAAAAATAAACAAACAAAACAAACAAAAAAAAAAGCTTAAAAAACTACCCCTAAACACCTCCAATCATAGTTCTATATAGAACAGTGTGTGAAGAAATCCTCTGACATATTTTTAACTGAAGGTCATAAAAGTTCCACACTCCTATTCCCTAAAGGGTCAAATACCACAGCCCAGAAGAAGAAATATCACAAATAAAAGCCAGGAAGAATCTGGACAGACAGCACCCTCCACTGATTCATTTTCAGGGCTCAGACTTTTTCTGTCCAATCACAGAGCTGCATGACCCTCTCTGCTTCACTGAAACTGCCCATGAAAATGGATTGTTCACCCTAGATCTTTCTTTGGGTCTTCATCCTAAAAAATCCAGTGTCATTTGTGACACCACCAAAGTCTACAGCATTTCCTCATTCCTGTTAATTTGCCTTAGTGTTGGTTTTTCTCAGTAGACTCAAATATATTACTCCATAGTGAAACTTTTAACTTCCCAATAAAGACTTTATGGCTACCCAAGGTAAGCATATATACGCACTGGATTTGATGTTAAATTAGAATCAACTCTTCTAATTCACCCCCAACATTAGCAACTGGAATCTCTTGGGACTGTGCAAGCATCTGCCTTTCACTAGAATGTGCTTGATAATTCCTCCCCACAGCCTGAGCAGGTACCTGTCCTGAATGAGGAAACTACATATAACAGGGAATCATTGACCAGGCTGCAACTAAACACAATCCAAATTTTTCCACTCACTTACTCACACATATGACCTTCTCTTGGTTGTTACCCAAAAAACTAAAATAATACCATTATTATCATTTTACCATGAGAAACAGATTACACACAACAATCATAACCCAGGCAGCACAGGCAGCTTTGGAAGCACATAGCAGGGCAAGCAGACATATGAAATTCATGGCATTCTTTTGGTTAGAAAGAAAGATGATGTATCTGCCCAGAGAGGGTAAACGCAGGGGTTCTAAGTGTACTTATAGAAGTTTTGTGCGGTCAGCCACCCAGACACCAAATAAGGGGAAGGATGGTGCATTTGGCTTAGCAGTTACAAGAAAAGACATTTAAAAGGAAGTTCTTCAACACCCACTGTTCTAATATGGATCCCTTGGTATCCAAAACACCAGAAACCATCAATTTGTCTTCCTGTTAGTACCCTTGGGTGTGCCTGACAAAAAGAGGCACTGATAGTAGGAATCTAGACTTCCTGGTGTCCAAACTACAAAACTGAAGAGTCTACTAGGGAAGGGGGAATATTGCTGCCATGTGCTACTAGAGGCGGGAGAAATTCTCAAATATAACCCATCAGAAATTGCCCACTCCCTCCTGTACACCTTCCATGCCATCAGTTACAAGGCTGTCCACTCACCACCCACATCCCTGTCTAGGTAGGGAGGGCGCCTGGGACATTTTGGCTGACCACAGACCATTCTTCCTCTGTGTTTATCCTCACAGATCTATCTTGGTCAAGGCTTGGGACTATAGCCCAGAGTCCACATCAAAACTACAGACAACTTCATTAAAGGGGGGGATGGTGTCATGCCATGCCGTGACCCTGCTAAGAAATCCAGAACACCTCACATTAGCCTTAGGGAAGAAAATTTAACAGGAGAGTTGAGGCCTTCTACCATGTGGTCTCTGCCCATGTTTCTTACCTGGTTTTTCCTTCCCTCCTTCACGGCCCCCACACCTCTTTTCACTTCTTGTATCTGAACTTCAGAAATACTCAGTTTAGCCTTTTTCCATTTGGAGACCTTTACCAATCCTCTTACCTGTATTTAAAGCCATGTAGCCACAGCCCTACCCTCTTCGACTCATATATCACCTCATGTGACACTTCCTCCAAGAGGCCTTCGGTGACCCTCTAAAATCAGAGATGGGGCCACTTCCTATATGTTCCACAAAACCTGGTACTGTTCATTTCGGAGTCTATGGCACTCTAGACTGTATTTGTCTACTTTAACGGTCTTCTCCTTACTTTACAAACTCGAGTAGGACTGGAACCTCCTCATCTGGCCCATGGTTGTGTCCCTGACATCTGACGCATGCCTGGCTCACAGTGCTACTCCATGTGTTTATTGAGTATGAATGCATGATGACTTCTGTGTCCCTAGGAAATGAAGCATGGGCACACAGGTGCTAAAAGACCCTCCTCTTTTAGTGACTATCCTTTGGAAGACTCAAGCACCGGGACAGCTTCAACCTACCTTCCCTGTTTGGGGGTTCCTGGGGTCTTGGGGTATTTTAGCTCTCTTGCTGACCCCTATCCTTCTATATACCACCATCTCCTAAACACCCTTAATGCAGTTGAAGAAGAACACTTAAGAACGAACATTTGGTGTTACAGAAAATTGAAGAGCAGGAAAAGAAGTGAGAAGTGGCCAGATGGTGGAGGATGAAACGGGGCACTGAAGCGAAAAGATGATTCGTGGGACAAGTATTCTTAATGGGTAAATTTGTTCTTTGACAACAGCATAAATGTGTAGAACATTTGGTTGACTCTTACCCACAACCTTCCTTTATCCCCTTCTCACCTCTGCCGTCCTCCCTTCCTGCCCCCATCCTCCCCCCCCCCCTCTTTCTCACAGCTATGCCTCTTTTTGTTTTGTGACTCACTGGTGTTAACCAGGGGCATCTGTGAAGCCACAGGTTTGGCACTATCTGTTACAGCTTGGTGGTCTCGCTGCTGGGTACACATAGAAGGCAATGACTATCTCCACCATTTCCAATAGGATACAAAGGACATTTTTTAAGTAAGCCTTCCCTGTGGAAAAATAAGACAAAGGCAGTCCTCACCCATGAAGGGCTTTCTTCTTGTTTCTTTATTTACTTACTGTTTGTTTATTTATCTATTTTGGAAAAGGGCCTGAAGACCTGTCACTTGCTATATCTCCCAGGCTAGCCTCAAACTCACAGCAGTCCACCTGCCTCAGCTTTCTGGTTGCTGGGCTTACAGGTACTTCTACTATATACAGCTTTTTCATTGTCCCTTCTGTGTTTCACAAGAGAGTTACCAAAAAGGAGCCAGAGCAGAGGTTAAACGGTGATAGCCGGGAGAGCACAGGAAGCCTATCAGGGTGGCATCTGGTGCTTCTGGTGGCCCCATCTGGCCATAAGAGAGAGGCTAATCAGCAAGTCTAAGCCAACTTGTTAAGACATGAAAATTCTCCCTGGGGAATAAATCAGCATATTCTGTTTTCACAGGACCAATCCCTTATTGGTTTGTGAGACAGGGCTGAGAGGATGGCACTAACTGATAACTAGTGTTAAAGATGAAGCTAAATACATCATGGACCATAAAAGAAACTATGGTAAAATGGCCATGTAACTCTTCTCTTATTTTAGATCTTTCTGAAAGTTCTTCTCATTTCCAAAAAAAAAAAAAAAACTCCCAGAGGGGGCTTGAAAGAATGCCATATCATTCCTAGAATTTCTTTATTTCATACCACTCTTGTGTTTTAACTTTCAACTTCTCACTACCACCTCCTAAAGTGTCTTTGGAGCCGTTTATTTTGAAGATACTGAGTAAATCCACTTTAACTTTAAACATTCTTAGTTTTATAGAAATATTCTCTACTCTGTAACATCATCATTGCTGTATGAATTAAACTACTTCTGTGTGGTTTCTGGAAACTCTTTTTCTCAATAGCAATCTTACTCAAAGGCTTTTAATCTCTAAAACAACACAATGAAAAAAGAATTCACTTTAAAGCCTCATTTCCACCAATCCAGTCTTTTCCTTGTAACAATCAATGGTCATGCAGATATGTTTTTAGGGAAGTTTGCAGCAGATTTCCGTCAAACTTGAAAGAAAAAAGATTTCCCTCAATACTGTATTAAAATACCTATAACACTCTTCCTATTCCTCACCAAAATGTGTTCATCCTCAAATATTCTTCCTCGTCTGGGTTAAGGGTGTTTAGGTGACAGCAATGTATAGAAGGATGGAGGCCAGCAAGAGAGATGAAATACCTTCATTCTCTTTTTATAACATGTGTCTGGTGTGTGTGTGTGTGTGTGTGTGTGTGTGTGTGTGTGTGTATGTGTGTGTGTGTGTGTGTGTTTATGCATGTGAGTGTGAATGTAGCACATCCTCCATGCTGGTCCTGGCCTTCCATCTTGACTGATGCAGGGACTCTTACGCACCACTGCATCAACA